GATCTTCAGAGCATAAACATTTTTCTGGCCATACTGAGAAATGCCCTACAAATTCTTCGGATTGCCTTTCACTTATTTCTACAATTCCTGCTTGAATGTAGTTTGTCTTAGCTCGTCCTATCATTTTGCTTCTCGGCTGTAATGCGCTTTGATACGGATGCAATGCCATGGATTCTTTCCCTATCATAAGTCTTCCCTTTTTATAATTATGCACTGTATTGTACTTTTTTAAAAAGTCGTTACCTAATATGCCTGGGTAATTAATAGGGAAGTCGTTCTTTACTACATATACTGTATGCTTGATTTCTTTATTTCCCAGCTGTATAGTAGCTTTCACCTTGCCGATCACGCTTGCCTTATGCCCCGTTACTCCGGTTAGTTCCAATCGCGTTTTTTCCGCCGGTGTTTTCTCCTTTAAATATTTTTTCTTAACTAGTGTCATTGTAGCTCCAGTATCATAAAGCATGTCTACTTGGCCTCTTTTTGCTTTTTTTTTTATCGGCACTACTACTAAGTCTAACTCTGCTTGTACTGCCCTTACTTCTATAGTTAGAAGTTCCGCCACTGACACAGATCTTCCTTTTCTTTCATCTTCTTCTTCTTCTTCGTCACTACTGGACGATTTGCTACTGTCACTTCGGCTTCTCTTTTTCTTATCTTTTGCCGCACGTATGGCTTTTGCAGCTCCTTCTTTGTTTTTCCTGCCGTTCAGTGACCAGCAATTTTCCTTGATATGTCCTGTTTTCTTGCAATAATTGCAATGTTTTCCAACGGCATTTACTCTGCCGCCTGCCTTTGGTAATGACATTTTGCTGACTCGGCAATCTCGACCGAAATGTCAGTGTTTTCCGCACTTAAAACACGTGTCTTTATTATACTTTCCATTATTTTGCGGATTCTGACTTTTTACTTGCCCGCTATGAGGTGTCGTCACTTTTTCCTCCGAGCTGGCNGCATTTATGGCCTCCTGTAGAATTCCATAATTTTGTGAGCAAATTATTACCCTAATTTTGTTTTTTAATCCTATTTGGAATTGCTGTAACGCCTGCTCTTTGATCGTGCTCATAATTATCNGTTTTTCTTCAACGGTGTGTCCTCTACCTTCCACCATAGCCCCATACAATTCCATGGCGATCTGATTTACACGTTGGCCGTACGTTTGCGCACTTTCACCATTCTTTTGCTTTAACGTGTTGAAATCTATCTGCAACTGAGTAACACTCTTTTTTGCAGCATAGGTGTTTTTGACTTCCTCTTTTAATTGTCGGAAGTTACAGATATTCTTTGTCTCAAAATCTAACAAAGCCTGACCTCGCAATTTTGTGCACAACACTGCTTGTAACAAAACAGGTTCATCCAACGGGCTAACAACTCCCGCTGCATACTCACACGCGTTCAACAATTCGCGTATCTGTTCAGCTGACATCCCGTCAAACGCTGGTATTAGATTCACCGCGTCTTTTAATTGTAGCTGACTTCTGTTTACTACGTGGTTTCGGATGTCATCATTCGTCCGTCCGTACGTGATATCGAGTTGCTCGCTCGGCCGTACGTGTGTGTTTCTTCGTGTGGGTGGAGCACCTGTTTCGCGCATTCTTTCTTCGCGTAGCTCCCCCATTTGCCTACCTAACGCGTCTATACGAGCTTCCATTACTCCTAATGTCCGCAAGACCTGACGTAGGACTTCCTCGGTGGCGTCATGACTCGGCCTACCTGACCCTGGGCCCCCCGCGGACCCTGCTCCTCCAGCTCCGACTAGCTCGTGTTGCATTTGTGTTATTTCCCTGTCTACCGCGTCCTGGGCTCGCCTAACACTTTCTATGTCCAGAGCCTTTTTCGTGTTATCTAAATCTGACGCAAGGTTATTTCCGCCCGCCTGGAACATTTCGCTTTGATTTAAAGAAGTAGGTTTGCTATTACCGTCTTCCCCCCTTAATANGTTTCCAGCGATACTCCGGTCTATCTCTATCTCGAACTCTCTTTCAATAGTTACGTTCGATTGTGATTCCGTGTCACCTTCGAATCTTAACCGGCGCCTATACGAATGTGCCTCTAGTTTTGCCGGAGCAGTTCGCGGTTCCGGTGTCGGTATTAAATTCTTATTCGTTCGATATTCACGAGCGGAGTTCCAGTCACGTTTTTCCGGGCAACCTTTTTGCCGGTTTTTGGACATTTACAAAACGTGATTACAAATTTTTAACTTACGCTAGCGCTCTCATTTCCTCGCCTGCTGATTGTTGTTTTGCGTAATGCAGCTGTCTATGTAGGTCGTCGGCTCCTATGTCGCCGCCGCTGCTGCTGACGCTGCTATTGCCGCTGTACGCTGCCGCCCTGTTTGCTGCTTTCGATGTCGCTCACTTTGCCGATTTTTCCTCTTCTTCTACCGGTCCTTTTATGCGTCCAGGATAGTGGTTCCTTCGTTGACACATCCCCCCCCCTTGGAGTACTTGCGGTGAAATTTACTTCCTTTTCTTGTCTCTTGTCCGCTGCTTCTACTCCGCTTATAACACAGCTCACTTTACTATTGCGGTAGATCAGTTCCGTGCGTAACCCGAGATCGTGAGCGTTGCACAGTGATTCCCTAATCACTTTTCGCACCACTTGCTAGTATTACTAACTCTGTTATTTTTTTTTTGTTTTAGGTGCTGAGAACTCGTTTCCACTTATTGTTAGCCGGGATTTTCTTTTATTATTTTTTTTTAATTTATTCTCTTTCTAGAATAAATTTCTTTTATACTTTACTTGACAGTTTTTTTTCTTCTCACCAGTAACCCTTGACGTCCTTGTTGTTTCCTCCACAATCCAACCGGAATCTTCTTCGTATTAAATACTGTTAAGATCCCGCCTCGGTAGTTGGTTTATACTCCCACCGCTGCCACCAAAATTTGTTGAGATTCGGGTAGATAAAGGACTTGGTGATGAATAAGATTCTTTTATAGAAACTGGCGTAGTTTATTACTACCAAGTTTACAAATTACTGTACAATTACGCACGCTTATATTGACTCTTAGCTGTTGCTTTTCTGCGGTAAACTCTCCGGATGGACTCGGAGCCACACAGTATTCAACAGCTACTCACGATCTACCTGTCGTTGCTTGCGATCGATCTTTTAAAGGAATCGATCGCGATCACTCAGCAGTTTAGTGACCTAATTACTACTGCACGTAGGCCGCTGACGTTGCGTGCTGTGTCTGTACCACACTTAACATTACGCTTAACAAGCAGATTTCATTTACAAAGAAATGCTGCTTGTTACCCTTTTGAAACAAACCGGGTCGATTGAGCAATGATGCGTACTTAACGCAATTGCTCAATGGCCCGAACGAAATTAAAACTAAATTTCACAACAGATCCTTTTACATACGCTGTGACCTCGCTAACCTTTTTTACAAGCGGCCAGCTTTCTTTAGAAACTTTAAAAGGAAACTGCATTCCTTCCGGCAATTTTGGGACCGCCTCCGTTACCTGTGCCAATATCACTTCTTGTGATATCACCGCCGGGTGTATTACGCCGCGTCTTAAGTGTAACGTAAACTCTATGATTCGCTCAATGTCTCGAAGCAAATCCGACATAATTGCGTTTACAGTAACAAAATATTCCGTCAGCACTCCGCGCTATGCATACTCGTCCAACGCCTTACCCAATCTATTTGTTACATTTGACAACACTACTTTGTTACTACGCAAAACATCCTCCAAATTATTTAAATGTACAATGGTTTTGTTTAACACCCGGAGCTGGCTCTTTACAGCCCCGTTTAAAATTTCCTGGCCGGCATATAGCGCGTCCAGTTGATCGTTTATTAACTTTTCACTATTAGCATCCATTACACCAAACAAATACTTAGCCAGAGAACCAACTCCGTCTACCAGACCTCGCTTTTTACCTACTGCACTACTACTTTCTAAGAAGTTAATGTGTGCTAACATTGCCTTTAATTGCTCCTTGTCTTTATTCAATAACGCGGTTATGCTTTTGCAATTTACTTTCGCAACGTTATCGAGGTACTCTAGCTCTTTACAATACTGAGTTTTTTCAGTGAACTCATGTAACTGATTATACCTATGTCGCACAGTGCTTACATCTACGTTAATGGCGACCTTCCAGTCCGACTCCACGTGGTACTACTCTCCTATTTTTTCAAAATAGATTCTCGGTTCCTGATCGAACTCTCTGATTTCGTAGCCCTTGGCTATACCAATGCCACAACCTAGCAGTACCCTAAAAAAAAATTACTACAGAAAAAGAAACAAAACATTTGCAGCAGACACACATCCGCACACTTCTACTACACGGAAGTTATCGCTCATTTCTTCTTAAAACAGCTAACGCTTACTCAGTGTTGCACGTAGAACCGCGGACGGTGGTGTCACGATAAACTCATCAATATGTTCAATTCAGCGTGTTACGCTGTGTCTTTACAACTAATTCTTAGTACCGCAACCTTTTCAACGATTTTTTTTAACCCATTTTTTTGCAACGTGATTCCCGCGACAACGAGCGTCAGTGTCTTGTCAGTCGTCCGACCATTAACTCGATCTCGAGAAAAGAAATCATGTCGAACGAATCGTTTTTGCTCGGTCTCCGACGGTGTGCGTCGTGCCCTTCCGCGCCCCCTGTTACATGTGCTTGGTGTCGGTTTGGCTGCGGAGCCTCCTCCAATCCTTTGCGAGTAAGGACGGCAGTGACGCAACGTCCTCGGATGTTTTGACTTTACCAGCCACGCCACGCACCCTTGAAGATCCATCACCGCCATCACCTGAGCCTGAGGATAACGAGGTAGTCATTCTGATGGTGCCGTCTCCACCACCGGCCTCCCCCGATGTCCCAAAAATAATCCACCTGGGATCACCCTCACCGGCCTCCCCCGATGACTCAGACATAGGGTGCGTTCGTCTTGGCTACTTTTTCGCTAATAGCGTTAACGCTCACCGTTTTTGTCGTTCGTCTTGGCACTTTGTAGCGCTATGGTGAAACTATGACGTCATAATTTCTTAGCGAAATCATCACTCAGTCACGCTATCACGCGCTATCTCGAAATAGGTAGGTCTCCTGTAGCGTAAGCACTATTAGCCAAGACGAACATGAAAGTTTTAAAATGTAGAGAAAACCTAACCTCATTTTAGGAAAGAATAGAAAGAAGATAAAACTTGAACTGATTGGACACATAAAACGGAAAGAAAAAAACACTCAAACTGAAGAGTACATCAATAAAAAAAAAAAAAAAAAAAAAATAATAATAATAATAACAAGCAAGGAAAGCAAAATGGAATGTATTACAATAAAAGATACAATTAGTGGAGATATGTATTATCTAAACTTATCATCAGAAGAAAAACAACGTTTCATAATAGGTCAGTTTATTTTATTAAATATGTTTTTATATGTTCTCTCTTTTATTTCTAAATATCTCTGTATTGAAAATTGTATTGTATTGATTACATAAAGTACTATATATAGTACTTATAATATATTCTTATAAGAAGATAAAAGTAAAAGTGAAAACTAATAAATGAGAATAAAATGTCTTTATGTTTAAAATAAAATACAAATATTATGTTTCCAGACAACGAATTCGCAAAGCAAAAACTGCAAGAAGTTAAAGATTTTGCACTTGCAAAGAAAATGGAAAATGATATAAATTTAAATGGAAAAGAAAATCTTGTATCAATAGAAGATGATAATTCATCTTGCACAGAAAATGAGGATTTAACAGTTTGTAAGCCACTCACTGAAAAACAA